ACACTGGAAAATATAGAGTAATAGAATGTGTTAAGTGTATATAATATAGCTTTCCATTTTCTTCATTAAAATACACCATGTATTTATGTTTCAGTCAAAAAGGTATTTGATTTTTATTCAATTTTATTCATGAAGCAATAATCATATTATTGAATCAGTCCTTTGTATCATGAAATTTTACACATTTTTAATATATTCTTTTTTCTGTATAGTTACAATTTAATGAAACATTCATGTTATTAACACATACAGGTACATTTATTCTGAAAAAGGAAAAAGGTCTCTGTAAAGTTTCCAAGGAGATTTACTTACTTAACTTGTTTAAATTTACTCACGATCTGGTGTAACGATTGAATTCCTAAATCCATTAAAACTTGTATCACGTAATTTGCAACGATACCAGAGATCGGTTGCAACATTTTATCTTGAACGATCGGCGTCTCGAGAATAAAGAAAGGTTAAATTTTTCACGATCTTAGCGTTCGATGGTTTATTTTTACCTGCAAGATGACGCAGAAATGGCGACATAAATGCTTCGATAATTTACGAGATTTATGAAGACTGGTATAAAAAAATACCGAATCTTTATTTATTTACGGCCACGAAAACCTGAATTCTAAATTTAAATATTAGCAAACCGAGTGACGTCTTGCAATTTTTTTTTTTTTGGATGACCAGAAAGTTCCTCGAAGATATCTGGAAAGAAGAAAAAAAAATCGATAATAATTTGAACTAAAAATTAAATTAAATCTATTTAATAATTTATACGAAACAATTATTTTGGATATCACCGATATCGAAAATCCAATCTTTCTTCATCGATTTTGTAAATTCTTAGAAAACGAAGAAAAAATGGTTTTCTATTACGAATATGATAAACGAACATCGACCGGTTATGTTATTACCTATTTGAGCGAGAGTACGAGATAACATAAAAGATTCTCGATATCGCTCATTCTTCGAAAGGGATGCCCGATTGCAGAGCAAAAGGAATAAGGCCGAAATCCCGCGGGTGGTTTACCGCGTTCAGGATATCCCAATGCAGTAAAACGATTGCGAGAACGTAAAATATTTATTACGACTGGCCGCAACCGTGGCTCCGTGGTTTTTTTTACAATCCAGCTTGTAATAAAAAAGCCCTCAAGCGAGGAGTGCGGAGGATGGAAGTGTACGAAGCATCCTAGAAAAAGAAAAATCAACAGTTCGGTCGTTTGAACAGCAACAGGTCGAGCAACGATACAAATGACTATGGAAGTCTGTTTGCAGGTCTGTTCGAGCTACCTCGATCAATTTCTATTCTTCCCTTCTTCCTTTTCCACTCTCCCGTCTCACCCTCTCACTGCCTTCTTTCATCGAACCGTTGTACTCTTCCACGACAATTAATTTATCTTCTCGAATCTTTCTTGTGAAAGAGATTCTTGAAATTACGAGCTTTCATCCAATTATTATTATTCACAAGTTATGCGTTATATTTAAAATTTATTTGACTATTGGGTTATTATTAAATTAAATTAGATAAAGTTATTGAAATGTTGCAAAGATGAGAGATTTTCACGATAATAAATTTCTTATTTAAAAATGGAAATTATATAAAGTTATGTCTAAAACAGAATATGATATCTTATATCTTGATGTTAGAAGAACTTATTTTCGTTAGTATCATGTATACATCAAATATGATGCGAATTTAATTAGCTAAGTTTAATTTAATAATTAACTAGTTTAATGCAAATTTCTAACAACCGTGACATCAAAGTAATGGCAAAGCAAAATTGATGAGACTCATGATGACCTCGGAGACATCCCCAGAAACATCTCAAATAGAATTTTGATCACACGAGGGACAGCATCCCCGTGACAACGTTTCCAATAACAACTCTGATTCCCTTAGATGTCTGCTCGACGCCATTTCCGACGTCGTAACAACCACCATAAGCTCTATAGCGGTCAGAATTATGGGATGAACAATCCATAGGTATAACCTCTCTTACTACATCACATCCTTTTGCTGGTCGAAATTCTATTTGTGTAGATGTTTGCCTGCTTTGAAACAGACGAAGTAAAACATGTTTGCAAGAGAATTCTGTCGTTTCAGATGGTAATGATACGATCCAACAACAAAATATATAACAAAGTAAAATTTTGTATGCGTGAATATGACAGAATTACAATAACGAGCATAATTTAATTTAAATTCATGTGAACATTTAACACTTATTTTTTAAAAAATTTATTTTTCTGCAATGAAAACTGTGACGTATTGTGTTTGAATAATACTTTCAATGCAATGTATAATATACAATACAATTGCTCGTTAAATTGATAAATAAAAATATTATTCAATCTACGAGATTAAGTTTTAAAATAGAATAATCGATATGACATACCAATGGGTTACAGATCATATATTTTTGATTTAGACATGGCAGTAAATCATCAGTAATGGCATTAATTTTCCATATTGATAAACATTATGTTTAAGAAAAAAACATGTCTGTTTGAAACAAAGAAAAAAATAAGAAAATAGATATTTTATGTTTTTTTAAGAAAAGGACAAGAGGATCAAAATACTTAACCTAATTTAACACGTTACATGGAAACAGTGTGTTTTTCATCGCATTATAAAGAAATGTCGTGCATTTAAGTGCACTGTATTAACACAATTTTCGAATTAAAAATAATGTATCAAGATAACGAAGACAATAATTGAAAAAAAAAAAAAAATAATGGTACCCGTAAATTTCTCTTTTCATCGATCAATCTTTCAGTAATATCCCAGTGGCAACGAAGTCGCAACGAAATATTATCGAGTTATCGCTCAGTCGATGCAGGAATGGTAGAAACACGCGCGAATAATGCGCTTGCGTCACGCGAATTTCAGACAAAACAACCGGCATAACGAAAAGTTACCGTCGCGACCATACCCGTTCTAAATATAAAATGGGTGTCCGTTGACCGAAAGAAAAATGGTCGACGATACGGTACTACTTCTATCCGTTCGTTCTTCCAAGATTGAATGCCCGTGGTCGACCTATTTGCCGGACAGTCCTCGTGCCACGAAAGAGCGAAATGCAGCGATGCTATTTAATCCGACGGTTTATTTAATCCACCAACATTATCCAGTAGCGTGCAGAAACTTGCTAGGGCGCGCGCGTGCTCGCGTGTGTTCGGTAAATATAGACGTTCCACTTGGCACTAGCGCAGAAAAGATCAAGGTGTCATAGAAACGACGCCGTTATGTCGATCTGTGCATGACTTCATTCTAGTTCCGCCTGGGGAATTTTACATTTATGCAAAGGGATATTTTTGGTGATCATACAATATCGATATGTCAATAGTAATATTAAACATGGCAGGTTTCGATGAATTAATAACTTGTATGATTTAGTTTCAATTAATTTTATAATTTCATTGATATTCAATTCAGAAAAAGAATTAATAAAAAGTGCAAATTTATCATTTATAAAAAGTGAAATCTGAAGAAAATATTAATTGGTATATTTTATTATTATTATATTGGTTCAACATATTCATATTTATTGAAGATATTAATAAAAATAAAAATTTTCTTAAAATCGAATATATCCAGATAGAAAAATAGAAATTTTATAATTTGACAAACATTAATCATCAATATTAGTTTATATTTGAACTCATTTGAACTTAACCATCTTAACTCGTATGATTAATTGAAAATTTTGACATTTTTAAAAATATTCTCATGACATACATTTCTCCAATTTTAAAATTATTCCATTATTGCAAAAAAATAAATTAAATTAAGGAACGAAAGTGTCGACGAAAGTTTCATATAAAATAGCAAGGAGATTAATCAATTCTTTCCCAATTAATATTCAACACCAAATGTAATTGAATGGAAATTAGTGCACGAACATTTCTCTATGCTCTGTATTTATATTTCAGTATTTATATTTATTTATATTTCAGTATATATTTCCAAGAAATTCCGATCCGATTAGAATGAAGAGAAAAATCTGAAAGTATTATTCGATTTTACAGAAGTCTATTAATTACTAAAATAACGTTCGATGAAATTGCTAATTTTTTGATATAATAATAACAGGTTGTTAATAATTGATTAAGTACATTTTGAGATATGAATTATTTATCAAAAATATGACAAATAAATCCGGATAAAGTTGATGTGAATTATAAAATTCATTATAATAAATTTAATTAAAAAAAGAAAATTTGAAATTACGATTTAAGGTTATGATTCGTATACATAAATATATTGCGTATCTATCAAAATCAAATTATTTATAATAATGCGTTTTAATTTTAATTTATATTTGTCGTACAATTTCATAAAAGTTAAAGAAAAAAAAACAAATTTTCTTTCATCCTGCAATGTTTTTTTAATTAAATCAAATATAGAAAATTGATATGAAAAATAACAAATTATAAAATTATAATAATTATATTTCAGTAATTGCACATTGGACATCGAAATTTTATAATTTGGAACAAGTGTCACGATTTATATTTACAAATGCAGAAATAGTAAAGAAAAAACGTCCGCTTCTTGTACACTGTCAAGCTGCAGTTTCAGATAAATCCATGTAAATCGCGAACATCCGCGATGCTATGTCACCATTCTGATATTTCGACCGAATTCCAAAAGCGACAGCTGCGATCGACGTAAATCTTTGGCGCAATCGGCTCTTCCTGTTTGTAATGCACCGAACACATTTTTTCAGATACCTTTGGACTACATCGCGATTTGCGCGTGTAATTTCTAATAAGTATAACATGCTAACTTTTCGTCATCGTGAATCGCCGCTTCCTCGTTTCATTATAAAATGATTCTTATTCTGATCTGATAACATCGAGATGAATATTTGGAATTGATGAAACATACAGGTAAAATTAATGTAATTTATTATATCGAGCAATAAATTATGCTTTAAATATAATAATTCATAGAGTGAAAGAATAATTAATGAGAAAATTATTGCATTGATAAAGGTATGGATAAACAGAATTGAACAACATGAAGCAATTTAGAAGTCATGGCAAAGCAACGATTCGGAAATATGGAATAAATCGAGAGATCCGCATTTCGTTTAATCAATTTCGATATAAAAAAGTAATCCAGACGAAGATTTACATTTTATCCAGGTTTATTTTATTTTTTTTCGCGTCGAACAATTTGTTAGCGATGGCTATGCATTTCGCCGAGATTTTTCACCCGCGTAATTGAAAAAGGTGCGAAATGGAATTAATGCATTGTTGTACACGGGTTTCTGAACACGTTTAATTACTTTAACTCCTTTCCAACTTTGGTTCTAAGTTCTATTTCGTGCTAAAAGCAGCAGTTCCCAAAGTCGTTGTTTTAACGATCTTTGTTTTAAGTGATAAAAATTTTCTCAAACTTGGGTTATTTCAATTTTTCTGTCACGCTATTTACCTCGTATTTTTTTTTTTTCCACAATATAATAAATCATATTTATATATTTCACAGATATTCAAAAAAATGCATATTAAGAAGAGAAACTTAAGTATCAACTTTTTCATCAACTTTCTTAAACGTGCACAGCAATTTTCAAAAAAGAAATATTTTTTTCCAAGGCATCTAAAGAAACTTTCTAAACAAAGACTTCGTTTGAAAGCAGAGCACGCGTTCCAAACCTATCTTGATCAATCGATTCATCAACGTCAACGTTTCACGGACAAAATCGGAACGAAAGGTCGTCAAAGCTGCTACGTGAATGCGAGAAATGCATCGAAGCTTAAAAAAAAAAAAAGAAAAAAAGGAAAGAGAATCGTTTGAGAATGGACAGCGGCAAATTGTAGTCATCTTTAATGCACTGTCACGCATTCCATCGCGTGAAAGAATGTCGAGGAACCGTTCGCGATCAATTTTGCTATTTAATGTATTCCGTTTCGATGCATCTGGCAAGAAGAATTTTCTTTTAAAGGATTCTAAAAGAAAATAAACATCATCGTGCATCGATTATGGATTAAATCGTTTCATTTAAGGTAAAGTCACTTTATTCGTGAGAGATCTTTGAAAGATGTTGATTCTAGATGTCAAAACAAATATAAAAATTGGTTGAAATTTAATTATTGAGTTATATGCAATTTAATTTTGTATCAGATAAAACTATCTATCTTCATCACACAATTTATATATATAATATATAAAATATATTAAATATATTAATATATTATTATATATTAAATATATTAATTTATATATATAATATATAAATATACAATCGACATTTTTGCATATCAATTTTCATATTTGTTTTATCTTGTAAGAATCAACATACTTTAAATTTGAATTGCAAAGATAGATCACTATAAGACGTATTTTAATGAAGGAAGTTCTTAAGTAAATTTATTTAGTGCAAAAAAATTTTCAGAGCAGAAGGAAGTGTAGAAAATTAGAGGCTTATGGAGGTTCGACTGTATTTCTTTTTTTTTTCCTCGTTCACAAAACAAGGGATGAAATTTTCTACTCGAGCGCCGTCTGAAGTGGAGGACGATAGGTTGAAGTGGAGAACAATAGCTTAAAGTGAAGCTTTAATATGATTTCTTAGGGACAACCGAGAAAATTGAGTTTTTTAAGTGTGTATCTTCGGCGTGGTCGATGGAAAGTTGTTGATTCGTCCGCGTCTCCTTTTGTCCTGCTTCAGATTTATCCCGATTTCTTCTGTTTTCTTCCCTAAATAGTATTTTCTTCGAAATACAATTTGTTTTAACGCAATAGTCAGTTGAAAGAAAAAAGCTTTTCGATACACGTTTATATTAAAAATTCATATTGATACCAATGAAAAAAAATATGTGACAAGTAGAAAACAAAATATGAAATAATATTATTTATAAATCTTTTCATTATAAATAAGGATTATTATACAAAATTTTATCACTCAAAAATGAAATATGCCAAATATATGTTTAAAAGCATTTAAATCGAACTCCAGAAGATTATTTGCACTAGAAAAATTTATTGATTATGAAAAGAAATTGATTATAAAAATCTATATAAAGTGAAATCTTTATATTCGTCATCAAAAATATTTTTTTGCATGATTCATCCATTTACTACTTATCCATAAAAATTAAATCTCTATTTAAACTTTCATTATTCCTCTTTTTCTCAATTCTTGTTAAAAAAAAAATTTATTTTATATTCTAATTCGATATTAACGACAAATATAATACTTATTCCATTTATATTTTTATCATATTAGAATAATAATTTCAATAACAACAAAAGAATAATTATTTCCTAAATTACTCGTCTCTCTTAATTTTTCAATAAAAAAAAAAAATCACGCTAATTAAAGAATCTATCATTTCTAGGTTTAAAATTCAATCAATGGCCATCTAACAATGATCGAACCGCTAACATTGAAATGAAACCACAGAGATAGAAACGAAGGAAAATCCATATGATCCTGTCCAACTACAAAGACGGATCATTTTCGCGTCGCAGCAGGCGACTCGTATTTCTTACATAAGCGTACGCGCACCAGGATGGCCTGGTTCCACAGAGGCTGAGGCTAATTGCACGTGATAAATCGTCCCTTCCCGCGTGTCTCCAGCCTCGGTCTGTTCCGTTGAAACGAGGCGGTTCCTGCGGTAATTCCCCTCCCGGCCGGCCACCACCAGTTCCGTTCTATTTCGTTCCACGCCGTTCCCATGTCCGCAAAACATCCGGCTGCTCATTATGGCCCCCGCGTCGCCGCTAACAGCCCGCCACCGTGAGATTCAATTACGCCCTCCAACGCTCGAAACTCCTCTTTACGCGCGTTCCGCATGCCGCGACACGCGCGCTCCGCCTCTCCTTTCCCCTCTCG